GAGGGGTCCACATTCAATATCAGCTCCACTTACTGAGCATTTACTCTGTCCTAGGCATTGCTTGAGAGCAGTATCCTCATCCCACCATCCCTATTTTGCAAATGTAAATATGATGCAACACAAGAGCTGGGATTTCTTTCTGTGTCTGTAAACTCTGAAGCCTGAGTAAATGTTTTGCAAATTTAGCTCTGATGAGATCGGTGGGTAAATCCTCTTGTCATTGTTTACTTTCCTTGAGATTGATTGATGTTATTTCTTTGGTCATTGGTCTTTGGGCAATGGATGATAGACCTCAGTTATAGATTTGAAAAGCCTTGATAAATGCCCTACCAAACAAAAATCCAAGTAGGAGAGTACATTTGGTTAAAGGGTGATGTGGCAGTCTATGGAGATCTTTTTTGTTTAAAAACAGCGTGGGATGGCTAGTGCAGACGGGGGCTGGTACAGAGTGAAGTTCACATTTTTAGGTGGACAGCCTGTACCACTGGAAGGTAATATAAGGACTATGAAATGGAGGCACGTTGCAGATGAACCCAGAGTAATGGTGTCACAGAAATTATCAGGGGCCAAACAAGAGTGAAGTCCTCCCTTTCATTTCTTGCCCCTGTCCTTGACCAAGTGGTATCACGTTGGACCCAAGGCTACCCAAAGGCCATCCAAGTTCAGCATCCGGGCAGACCGAGGCAGCAAGGCAAAGGCAAATCGCTAGTCTGTGAGCCTCCCCAACGAGGATGGGCAAAACTGTTGTTTCCACATACCCTCTGCCTCCCTTGTAGCATTTCAATTTCTCCACTTCTCCTTAGACTCTTGGTTACTGCATGATTTGGCCTGGCTTACTGCTATCTGTTCTTCCCATTTTTGTCTTCCCTTTTTAATCCATTCTCTGTTTGGTAGGATGAACCTTTAAAAAACAAAAACAACTGACCATAGCAATCTCTTGCTTAAAATATTTCACTTAGAAAACAAACAAAACCAAAGAACTTTTCAGTACCTTCCCATTATCCTTAATACATCCAAATTCTGTGCTATGACTCCCAAGGGCATTTGCCCACTATTTCTAGGTTTAATTTTTATATTCTCACACTTCAACCAAACTGATTTTTAGAAGTTCCTCCTACACTATGACTTCTCCAGGACCTCATACAAACTGCATTTTTTAAACGTTGAACCCTTTCCCATTACCTGAACCACTTCCTTTTCCCCCTTTGTCCTGGCTATAACCTACTCACCCTTCAGGTCTCAACCCAAGCAGAGCTGCCCCAGGAGGCTTTTCCAGGTTAGTATACTGCCCCCACATGGTAATGCAACTTTCAGGTGTTACTGTATTCATTCAAAGTCTGTCTTTTAAAACTAGGTTGGAAGGGCCAGGAAGGGGCACCCCATGGTTTCTCAAGCTCACCATTGTAGCCCTGCTTCCTCCCACAGTAGCTCACATTTGAGGCATTCAGTGCACATGGAATTAGTGAAGGATTGAGAGAAGGAATGCCCTTTGCACAGCAGACCTCTTATCTCTTTGCTTGTCCCAGGGCTGACCTCAGGGGCCCTGGATTGTAGGTGTCTGCCTGCTGTCCAGACCTTGTTATCTCTGGTCTAGCAGCTTCCTGGAGCTAAGGCTATTCGCTCTGTCCCCAGAGCTGTTTGAAGACTGGAGTCAAGTCAACATGAGCCTGATTGTAAGACAGGAAGAAAGAAGAGATTCTTCAAGCTATAGAACAAGGAAGTTGGGGCTGATTTGTGGCAGAATTTCGATGCAAATTATTAAACGCATTATCAAATGAACAGGGCCCATTTGGAAACCAATAAGTGGTTTATTCTTTAATGAATAAGAAATGAATATTTGTGAGCACTTAGGGAAGTTGATCGACATGAGTCATCATTCATTAAAAATATAACAGGTCATTTTCCAGAATCATGGTAACATTTTGATAATCTTCCACTCACCCCTCCCATCTTGGAGTCCTGAATACACAAGGAAGAATTAAGACATGGAAAACAGAGGATCAAGGTATTAGAATCTCATAAATCCCCCCAAACACATCACCATCTGCAAACAATGCAAAAGTGTCTTGCAAGCCTGCTTGGGAAAAGCTGTTTAGACTTGAGGTTTCAGTGAGTTTTGTTCTCTAGCCAACTATCCCTAATCTGTCTCCTTTTCTCCTACCCATCATGTAACTGGGATGGGTGGTTCTACAGAGGAGATGGAAGTGAGTCCACTTCTCTAACCACTCCATATGTAGATGCAGCTGGCCTGTCTGCAGAGAGTTTAAGTCTTGCCCAGGTGGACTTGCTGCAAATGCTGGTGGCAAGTTGCGTGTGGACTCCAATCCTTACTGTACAATGGTCCTCCTCTCTCTGACTTGGTGATTGAATGGCCTGGCTCTGACCAGCAGCTGAAGTAAAATCGGAGCCATGATGCTACTTCTTTTCCTCCCCTCTGGGTAGAAACTGATTATGTGGGAAAAGGGAGGGTGTGTCAATCTTTCCTTGGACTCCATTAGCATGACTTATTGATTAGAGGACTGTTGTGGGTAGTAATAGCTGAGCTAAGATTATTGAGAACTTTTATGTGGCAGGTCCTGTTCCAAGAACTTTTCATGTATTAACTGATTCAACCTCACTCAACCATTGCAGGTAGGTATGGTTTTAATCCTGTGAGTTAAGTCACTTGTGTAGGATGATGCAGCTAGTAAATGGCAATGCTGGGATTTAAACCCAACAACCCAGTCCAGAGATGGAGCCCTTATACGTGACAACACTCCACTGTGCCCACTGCCGACCAGCAGCTGAGTCCAGGTGAAAGTGGATTCCTCTAAGGCATTTGACACCTCTAAGATGTGTTTATGACTACAATAGAAAAATAAGCCTTGGGAATTACACAGTTAAGAGGGGTGACTGTAACTGAATGAGCCAGTGAACCCAGTGCTGATCCCCATCGTGGCAGAGGGAGTCCCTTAGTAGGGTATCATCCAGGACCCTAGTGTTCTTAACCTAATCTGTGGACATGGGGAGACACTGGATGGTTGAATTAAATCCAGATAGGCTTAGAGAAGGTGGACCAGGAAGGGGTTTTGGTCCCAAAGACCAATTCCATAAACATAACATGGCCTAGCAGTAACATGGCAATGAATTTTCAGTTTTCCCCTTGCACTTGTATCAACAATTGGATGTATTTGAAAAATAATTGATAAGAGCTCAGGTTGTGTTATTTGTTTTTTAGTGCTTAGTTAATTCATTATATGACAACCAATTTTTTTAAAGGGCAGAGACATGTCCTTCAAGAGGAAGATGGCTAAGATTAGAGAGATGTGAAACCGTATCACCTGAAGAGGAGTTAGGGTTAACAGAATGTTCAATGCTCAGTAGACACTGTTCAGAGAGAATACGAGGTCTATCTTCAAAGATCTGAAAGGTCATCTCTTGGAGGAAGGATGTGACTTTCTCCATGTTGACTGCAGAGGCAGAGCTGGGACCGAAGGTTACAAGGTGGGTTTGTCTAATTGCTGTGCAAGGTGGGGACAGAAAGTTCCCTATTTGCTCTCGGGACAATTATGACAGCTAACTTACTGAGTGCACATGATGTCTGCACTAAAGTTAAGGTCTTCACGTGGCTTAGCTAAAAAGTTGTGGATCAAATTCATACTTATCACTGCTGGCATCTCATAGGATCATTAGTAAAGGATCTTTAATTTACTGACTTTATTAAACTTTATTAAACTACCTCATTTGACAGGTGCCATGTTGACTGTTATTATATCCTTACTATTTTACAGGTGAGGAGATAGAGAAGTTAAATTGCTTTTCTGGAATCATCTTTCTTTAAGTTGTTGGCTTATAACAACCAAGCATGCTTGCTACTAACTATCTCCCAAAGTTATGCATATAAGGGGGGTCCAATCAGGACTGTTTATTAGAAACAGAATGTGAGCCACTTATAAGAGTAAGTGTAATCTTAACTTTTTCTAGTAGCCACATTAAAAATCTGAGAAACCAGTGAAATTATTTTAAATTATATATGCAAATTTACATCTTAACTCAATACATTGACCCAGTTGACTCATTACATCTAAATTATTTGTTGAAATTATTATTTGTTGAAATGATATAATCAATATTAAAATTATTGACAAGCTATTTTACATTCTGTTTTTTTCATACTAAGTCTTGAGTCTATTTTACACTTAGAGAACATCTCAGAACTAGCTACATCAAGTGTTCAATAGCTGCTTGGAGCTCTTGGCTGCTCATGGGCAGCAAGCTCAGGGTTAAAATTTAAATTTTCTGGGATGGTGTGGGGTGGGATTAAAACTTAAAGTGGAGTTTTGCCTTCCATCTTAGATTCTAATGTCTCTCTGCTCTCAACTTACCTCTTTTGCCAGTTTGAAGGAAATGCATTAGCAGCTGCCTTTGCCTCTTCTGGTAGAGCCAATGTAGATATTTCTGAATTTGGGGAGTACAGGTGTTTCTGCTGCAGCCCTCCAACAACTGACATTTCCCTCCTGGCAGCTACACTGGGAATTAACCTGTTTGATTTCTGCTTTGAAAATGACTTAAGTAGGTTGCATGAACTAAATCGTGTACCGTAAATACTAAGTTGGGAGTAGAACATCTTGCTTTATGCAAAGTAATGCAAAATTAGGAAATCCCTGGCTTAATTGATTATAAATCAATCTTGTAGTCAGTAAATGCATATGTGACTGTGGAGGGGAGGAAACGTTGACATTTTTGCCTTGCTGTCCAAGGGTAGGCGCAGAGCGCCACAACCAACACATCCGCCTCCTGAAGTAGCTTTAAAGCAGCCCACCGAAGTTACTCCTCAACATTCCAAACCAGCTGCCCCAAATTAAACCATATAAAAAGATACCGCGCGCTCTCGGCCTCCCGGAGGTGGCGCTATGAGGGTGACGGAGTTAATTAGAGCCTGCAAAACGCCGCATGTGAGCTCATCCGAGAAGTCATGCTCTGCACACATATTATTTATAGCAGATCTGAAGCGTGCACAGTGTTTAACATTTTCTTCTTTTTAAATAGGGGGACTTCAAAAAGTGGTGGGCACTCCCCACCCCCAGGCAAAGTATAGTGGGCAGGCACCAGGGCGCAGGCGGAAGGCGAACGCACCAACCACGCGTGTCCCGGCGCAGGTGCCGGAGAACGCGGGGGCCACTCCGCAGCGTCCGCCCGGGAGCAGAGTTCGCGGTCGATCTCGGGATGCCTTGCAGATGCAAAATGTGTCTCTGGCCAGCAGGAGGAAGGAAGAGGAAGTGAGAGCAGCGGCAGCCGGCGGCGCAGTGGCCGGCAGACCCGGAGTGTAAGTGCGTGTGCTCGGGCGAGCGAGCGCGGGCGAGGATGGGCACGGGATAGAGGCAGAGCCACCCACCGCCGCGGCCCCCAGCTGGGCAGCAGAGCCTCCCGCCCGCTTTCTGTGGTAGCGGGTCGCCAGAACGCTGATCACTGGGAACCCTCGCCGCTGTCGCCACTGTCCTGTGACCCCGGGCAGGTTCGTAAAGTTTCCTGGGCTGGCGTCGCGCCCCGACTCGCTGACCTCAGCGCTGCCGGGGAAGAAGCTGGGGCTGGGGCCAGGGGGAGGCGTCCTCCTCTGGGGGACTCTGGGCGCCGCGGAGACACTTTTGTTTCCTCCCTGGGGGCGCCGCGGCTCGGCGGGGGTGGCCGCGGCGCTCTGCGGGGTGAAGGCTGCGGGCGCGCCGGGACGCTCACCTCTGGGGAAGTCTGGGCCGAGGGGGGCGGCCGGAGGGGGAGTGGGAGCGGGGGGAGGCGGATGGAGCAGGGGATGGAGCGCAGGGCCCGGGAACCCGGGGAGACGTTTCGTCCGGGGCCGGCTGTTGGGGGCCGCTGGAGGGGTGCGCTGCTGGCGCTGGGGAACTGGGGACACGAGTAGTGTGGAATTTAGGTGCTCGGAGACCCGAGAGGCTGCACCCGAGCAGGGACTGGCGGCGCGGACTCCAGGCTTTGCTCCGGCTCCCGGAGATGGGAGGGAAACCCTGGGCTAGCGCGCTCCGGGGAGGGGGCCGTGATGGGCGAGAGGGAATGAGGGCCTGGAGGGGAGGGCGAGGGCGATTGGGGCAGTTGGGGGCATCGGGGGGGGGCGACTGCCAGTAGGTACCTGCCTCCCGGGGACACGCCGAGGACCCCACTGGGACCAGGGAAGACGGAGGGGAGGCCTTGGTGGGAGATTCCGGCATCGGAGAGGGGGCGCACCGGACGCGCCTTCAGAGAAGGGGGGCAGCGGAGCTCAGGAGGCGCTGGAATCCGAGCGGAGAGGGGCGGCGGAGACCGCCCGAGCAGCTTTGAGGAAGAGGAAATACTGAACTCAGTTGGCCTGGGGGTGCGCGCGCGTGTTTTGGGCTGGGAAGTCCTTATGCCGCGGGCGCGCGCAAGGGCGGCAAGCGTGTGAGCGAGTGTGTGTGTGTGTGTGAGAAACCGCGAGGGGGCTCCGATGCAGGGGACTTCCCGCCAAGTGACCCTTTCGCGCCTGGGGGCCGTTGAAGTTGGTAGGCTCGGGCAGGGATTGTAGCGGCGGGACCTGCGATGTCCCAAAGCCGCAGGGCCTGGGCCCCGTAGTGACCCGGCTTTGGGGACCTCTGGACAGCTCCTGGATCCACCGAGCATATTTGTGATGTCCTGCATCGGCCTGCAAGCACCAATGGCCATGAATAATGCAGACCTAATTCGCTGTATTTAAGGTTAAAGAGAACCTAAAACAAGGGTTCCTGCCTCCACAGGCAGAGGCTCAGGCCTCCGCATTTAGCATTGCCAGTCACTTGGGAGTGCGGTGGGTGGAGCACTAGTGGAATTTCTGAGTTTTTTTTCTTTGTCTATGAAATTAAAGTAATTAATGACCTGTAATTACATATCAACTCTTTGAGGGTAACTTTGGGAACTAGCCGGACCTAACTCCCACTTTAGATGGAAAAGGCTGGCAGCGGCTATTAAGGGCCTCCTCTGGCCATGGTTTCACATTTTCTCTCATCTCCAAATCTCTTCCCAAGGTTGTTTCAAGGATTATTGTCCCCCCAGTTTACAGAACTGGGGACTAAGTGAGATGGCCATATCCCCTGCTGTCATGTAGCAGGCTTTTTAAAAAGTTGACCATCTGAACCTCTGCTCTTTACTGTGGTACATTTCCTATCTCTTGAGGGCTGTGGCTAAATATGCATGTTGCCTTTTTTCCTACTACGTTATTTCTTGGATTGTTTATTTTTTTAAATTAGGTATATTGGTTGTCTTGGGGAATTGTGAGGGGATCAACTGGAGTGTTGGAACTCTGAAGGGAGGTGATGTCAGGAGGGAAGGGACCTGGGGAAGGAGCTTGGTAGGTGTCAGGGAGGGGCAGCCAAGGAGGCTCAGTCCCTGGTCTGGTGGAACTCAGGAGCAGCCATTGGGCTACAGGGTGGGTGGTCCTATTGATGGCCATATCTACCCACTATACCCTCCAACACTCATCTCTCTCTGCCCTTATTAACTGCAGCCACTATGACTACTGCCTGCTTTTCACCATGTTCTCTCCCAAGGCCTTTGTATATATTATTTCTTTTGCATAAGGAGCCTTTCCTGACCTTTCCAGAGGGCTCGCTCCCTTGCTTCCTTCAGTTCTCTGGCCAATTGTCAGCTTACAAAGGGCCTTCCTTAACTTCCTCTTACAAAATAGCAACCAGCCACAACCTGGTTCTCTGAAGTTAATCAGTTTTCCATCCCAGTATTCATTATTCCCTGGCATTATATATTCATTTGTTTGATATTGTTTGGTGATGGAGCATCATTTGTTTGATCAACTTTCTTTTAGAATGGAAGTTCCATGAGGGTAGGAACCGTGTTCTGTTCATGGGTCCAGAACCTAGACTGATTGTCAGCCTAGTAGGTGCTCAATAAATACTTGCTGACTGACTTAGAGATGTCTATTATGGGAGAGGCTCTCTAGGGAAATATTACAGCATTAGCAGCAAGTAAGATGCCCGGGCAAGCAGCCTTTGGTTTTCTCTTCTGTCCTCTCCCACAACCCAGAGCTCTTCTTGCAGAACGCTTTCTGCCTTTAGTAGACTCTTAGAATTTCATCCTGAAGAAAGGAACAGAGAGGTGAGTCCTGGGCATAGTGGAATAATAGTGTACAACCACTCCAGATCTGTGGTTCGTTTCCAGATCTGGATGTGTTGGCTTTAACCAAAGAAATAGTCATCTAGAAAGAAGGGTATTACTGTGAGTGATGTGAAGTCGGAGATACCCACTGTGTCCCACTCTGCTTTGCCAACAGGTGGAAGTGAAGGCAGAGGAGAGGAGGTACGGCAAGGAGAGGGAGGGAGAAAGAAGCTGGCTGGCAGATGCAGGAGAGAAGAGAGATGAGAAATGTTGGAGAAAAATGGGAGAGGAAACATGAGGGGCTTCTACAGTGCTGCTAAATCATAAGTTTTTATTAAATTACAGTGTTGAGATAGAACAATACTTGAGTGTTTTAAAGTAATTTGCCCCCTGTGGGTTTTGGGTGTGAATGAGTGTAGAGAGGTGGAGGAAGGGAGTGCTTTGAAGCCCTTGCAGAAAGGATGTGGCTGGGGGTGTGCCAAGGGGCTGTAGGAGTGCACACTGTACTTACATTATCAGTTCTGAACACTGAAGGTTTAGAGGTGATCATTCCTATGGAGGACATTTCCTGTCCCCATCTAAGACAGCTTAAGGTTTATCACTGAAGCCTGCAACCACTTTTTATGCCTGAAACCATACAGGTGAATAGTTTGATTTATAAGACATTCATTCTGTTGAATTTGGAGAAGGTAGGGAATTACTAAACCCTCTGTACATCACAAAGCCTCAAGTGTTTGCTGCTAATTATGCAACTCCTCTTCTGCTTCCTTCTAGTCAATTAGTCTAGTGTTTTTGAAGCTTGGGGTTGCAATCCAGGAATAGATAATAATATCAATTTATTAGGTTCAGACCAGCAGTTTAAAGCATGAAACAGAAGAGAGCACAATGGAAAACAGAGTGCGTTTACCAAACAGATGCTGTATCTTAAGGTCAAATGTATCACTTAATATGGGTCATGGTAAAAAAAAAAAGATATTCTAATAATTCTGGAGGACCTAGGAATCTACATTTTTAACCAGTTTGCCAGGGATTCTGATGGAAGTAGTTCATAGGGCCATACTTTAAGAAATACTCAATTGTCACACACACATACCTCCCATGCTCCTCCCCCTCTTAAAAATGCTATTGATTTAATCTCCTGCTAGAGATGCTATTTCCAAATGTTGAGTCAGGTACAGTAAAAGCCTCAGCCACTGACTTTTAAAATGCTGCTATTTATAGACCATGATGGTGTGCTAGGCCTTGATGCCCCCATTTTGGTGAAACTGGAAATCCAAGTGGCATGTTTTTCACTTTATGATAAGGAGAGGCAGTATATTCATCTGTAATAACTGTTTAACCTTACTTAGAATAAAATGACTAAATATACTCTTTTCTGGCCAAGTTTTAGTTTAGAGCTTTTGAGGTCTTTAAACTTTTGACATCTTTGGAAATTTCCTCTGCTCAACTTTTCCTATTTTATACATAGTATTCCCCATATGAACTATGTAAATTACATCCAGAGGTTTGCAAAGACAGTTGTCATCTCTTCTGATGGCAGCCACACACACTACTGTGCTACCTGATTTGATTAAGCTTTTTATCTGACCTGGGCTTGTGACTAGCTGACCCAAGGTGGAAATGGCTGAGCACTTCAGCACTGTCCACACATAAAGGATTTTGAAGGTCAGCCATCCAGGGGACAGAGTGTGGCTCCAGTGAAATGCTGGTGGCTTGTGAAAGCCTTTGAATGTGCCTAGCACAGCATATTTAGGGACAGTAAAGCCAACTTGCATCCAGAATGCACATACTGGCTGCAATTTAGTTCCCGGGATAATATAGGTTGTCTGAGTGTCAACAATTACAACTTTTTTGTATAATAGCCAGAGCTGAAGCTGCAAAACGTATTATGATCCATGAGTAAGTTAACTTGTGACTTAGTACCGTGTTTTCCAAACTTCCACAGGGCAAGTGCAGTTATGGTTTGAACAGAATTTTGTCACTGACCTAAGGTTGGGTGCAGAGTGAAGTATCCAATAGCGATCTGCATGGGAGAAGGAAGGCGAGCTCATCAAACAGAATTAACAACAGCAACAACCTGGCTTAGTGCTGAATAGAGAAATTAGTCACATGTATAAATAGAAAGAGATGATGATTCTCAGTCAGTGGTTTTGGCCCCCACAAAAACTGATTTCCAGAATTTGAGCAAGATTATTATTGGAACCTCAATTTTAGGAATTGAGACTAGAGTTTTAGCTATTTTAGTTCAAACAGTTTATGCAGTGAACAAAATTTTCCACAGTAGAATACACTGGAATGCTCACTACTTTCTGGACTCCAGGGCTGCTATGTGTCGGGTGGGTTGTACTTACTCGATGAGAAGCAGTGGTTTGAGGGCACCATGGCCAGGTGATTGAGCGTTGCCCCAATGGGCTTAGAGTTACAGGGTCCATGGAATATTTTTCTCTTTTACCAGCAACTGACACTCCTCCTCCTGGAGTGCTGCTCTAGAAATGGTGGGAAACAGGCAGCCCAGTATTGTTATCCCATTTTACAGATGTGGCTTGGAGGAATGGAATGTCAGAGGGGGTATTTACAAAGTAGATCTGAGCCTACCCAGCATTTCTGATGCTGTTTCCTCTGCTATTTCTTTCCCGTCCACCACAATACCTGTCGTCGGGTCCCCTGGTCTGAGCCTGGGCCCCCCACATCCAGTTATGCCACAGTGCATCCAGGGGGCCCACCACTCCTCTATGCTGGTAGACGTGCCCTGGGTTTGGATGTCTGCCACCATAAGGCTGAGTTTTCAGTCAGTGCCTCCTTTTGGATATCTCACTCCAAAGCAGACCCCCTAGCCTTGAGAGAGCCTTGAGTCCTCTCAGGGGCAGCATGCCCATCTCCCAGGCTCATAACATTGAAGCATATAAGCAGGAGTGCAGTTCATTAATCAAAAATGAGAAGAATGTCTGCCAAGGAGAATAGACACATATTCTTTAGCCAACACTTCTTTCTCTGTGGATGAGTCATGGTGAAAGCAAAAGCGTGGAACCAATTTTGGGGGTGCATGTCAGTTGTCAGGGAGGGAATACATTTAACAGTATTTTCCAGCCGATCGTAAGTTTTGCTACTTCTCCAGCCCCTTAGATTAATGTCAACCAGAGACCAGAGTCTTTATCCAGGATGGTTTCTCCTTTGGGTGCTGCTGAGGCTCCTAATTCTATTCTTTCTCTACTTGCAGGCGATTGCTGATTTTATGTTGACCTTTTATTTCAGGTATCCTCCACCTCAGCCCTACTGGCATTTGGGACTGGATACTTCTTTGTGGTGGGGGCTGGCCTGTACATTACAGGATGTTTACTAGCTTCTTTTGTCTCTACCCACTAGATGCCAGTAGAACCACCCAACTGTGATAGCCACAAATACCTCCAGACTTGGCCAATTGTCCCCTCAGAGGCAACCCCTTCTCCCTGATTTGGGAACCACTGTTTTGTTTTCTTGCATCAGTAGACCAATTTTCCAGTTGCTCCAGTTTTCTATTTACTGGTTATTCCTTAGACCCTAAGGTGGTGTATTCTTCACAAATGGGTGGT